CCTGCGCGCCCGCCGGCACCGGCCCGCAGCCCGCCTGCCTCCCGCGCCCCTGCAAAGTTGCTCAGAAAGGAGCAAGCGCTCTGGACGTGGGAAAACTTCCAAAGTCTGAGCCGTTCACCAGCGTGGCCAGAAAAGCAGTAAATAAAAGTCCCGATGTTACGTGCACCAGCCTAGCGACTGCTTCTTCCTTGGGGCTAAAAGAAGGGCGACAAACAGTCGAGGCCAGAGCGGAGCGTGCGTCCCCGTTTCAAAGAGTGTCTGCTTTCAAGAAGCTAACTTTGTCTTATGAATGCCGGACTCGCCTTTTTAAAATTTCAAGCGATCATTCACAACCATTAAAGCGTCCTGAAAGGCGAGTCTTTCGGGAGGGAAGAGGAAGCACACGATTATTGTTTTGCGTTTAACTTTCTGCTTTCAAAAAGCACAAGCGTGGCCAGGGGTTGCTGCGTGAGCCCCAAGAGGGGACAGCACAACCCCAACCCCCTCACCCCAAACAGCCCCCTGCACCCTCCCGCGAGCACCGCCGTGTTGCGGTCGGTATCTGCGGTTCGGCCTGCCCGGGCTCTGCGCGGCCCGGCGGAGGCAGCCCCTGCGTACTGCCAAAGCCCACAGCCCACGCAAGAAAAGTACCCCGAGAGCATCTCAAGAGCCAGGCATTCGAAAGAAAATCAGGGTTCCCCGCAAGGCTGAGGAGCCGGGATTATTTTTTCTTCCAGTGATAAAGGGCGCCTTGATGAAGAAAGTGGACTTTAGCGACTGAAACAGCGCGGAAACAACCTAGAAACACCTCACAACCTCTCTGCCTGCAAAAATACCCCTCTCACTACCGGGGATTTCAAAGCACTGCTTCCCTCTCCAGAGCCAAGCGAACCGCGTTAGCATGGCGTGGACTTGAATTCAGCATTAGCAATTCCAGACCCAGTGATCGCCACTAATTCGGAACATACACCGGCTGGCGATCAACCACTATTGCACCGTTCCCTCTTCACCCCAGATAACAAGGGGAGAAAAAAAAAAAAAAAAAAAAGTAATAAATAAATAAATCAAATAGAACAAAACCCACTGGCAGCAGCGACAACAACGCTAAGATCACTCTTTCTGCTGAAGGACGCTCAAACAAACCTCAGACCAAAAGTTTAAAAGAATACTCATTAACCAAGTACTCCAATGCACACAAGTAACAGATCTGTGTTAAGCGACCACTAGGGACTTTACACAAGTTCAGAGAACTTGAAACACGCATCTTCAAAATATATCGCCCCCACCACGTTTCTCCGGGTGTATTTTACAGTGGCTCACACTGTCTCTCCGATTTTTTTTATTTATTTTTTTTAAGCTACGCACAGGTTTTTTTGTTTGGTTGTGGGTTTTTTTTTTTAATCGCTGCCTGGCCAAGCCGGCGGGACTGTTAACCTGAAACATTGGTAGAGAGGAACATTTTCGGCGCATGAAACCTTTTTCCCTGGCTCTTTTGCCCGCCGGGTTACATTTCCTCATGTTCCAACACTTTCTGCCTGGGTCCCAGCAGACTCCAACTTTTCCTCTCTCTCCCGACCCGGCAAGGTGGCGCTCTTTTCATGGAAAACTGATATTAGCTTCATAATAATACCATTTTGTAGAAAGTAAAGTCAAAGCGGAGCCTTCCCACGGGTGCTGCAGGGAGCAGGCGGCGATACCGAGCTGGCAGGAGCGAAGCCTCAGCCGAACCACACAAACTTTTCTTTTTCTTTGGGGCGGAGAGGGCAGTGGGGGTGCGGGGGGGGGGGTGAAAAATCTCCGAAGGAGGTCCCCAAATGTTACGGACAAAGAGAAACACTTGAGGGGTTTCGTTGTAAGGCAGGCGGGCTGTGCTCTGGATGGGTCACAGCCAGAGCTCCGGAGCGCCCGCCTGGGTAGGAGCAGAGAGCAGCTTCCCCGGCACCCCCTCCCCCCCGAGCGGTTAATATGGCTATTGACTCGCTGTACACATAATATTTCTTTAAAGAAGCTGTTAAAGTGTCATCTTGGTCTACTGGAAGGTCAGTTTGTGCAATTCACTCTATGACATATCACAAGCCCTCGCAGCTTTAGCCAACCTCATGATTTGTGTTGTCTGTTGATATGTTGTCTGCTTAATGGGGCGATCATGCAAGCTACAACCAGGAACAAAGCCCAACAGTTCCAACAACCGTAGCTAAGTTAGTGGAAGCAGTACAGCTTGCAAATCTATCAAACTAAACTGCAAGGAAGACAATCTGATTTAGAGAAAAGGCGTTCTGCTACAGTCATTAAGCACAAGTAATTTAGATTTTTTATATTGTCTTCTCATTTACAAATTTACTGTATCAACGCCAGCCAATGGAACGAATTTCTTAAGTAAATGAGAAATAAATAAAAGAGATAGAAAGATAATCAAATTACATAAAATAATTCTTAGCCCCTACATTTATTTTTTAGAAAGCTATTAACACTGGCAAAATTATAGTAATAATAATAACATAACATAAGAAGTAATTGATTTAAATTAACATCACGTTTTAAGGAATATCAGAAAATAAAAAAGGGAAGAAAAAAAAAATAATGAAAAAAAAAACCAAAGAAAACACCCAAACAACAACCACAACAACAACGGCCTTCATAAACCAGTGCTTTACTTCTTGGAGCAAAAGGCCCAAGGAAAGTCATGAATCCACTGTCTGAGAATTAGTTATGGTCATAAATGCCTTAAATTAAAATAGCAACTGAAATCTCCTCTGTTTTAAATCTCCTAATACATGTTATCCGAATTAATTTAATTTAGGGACCCAGTCTATGTAGATTCATGGGCAGTGTTGGAGTGGAGTGCAGCACTTCTCGAGTAACAATTCCCCACATTAATATTTATGTAGCCTATGCAATCTATTTCTGTTATTTTTATGGTTGTTATTCTATGTCTGCAAAGGTCATTTAAATTATACTGCGGCCGAAAATTTGTTTCATAAATTTTGATATAAATACTAATTACACACTATAGTAATGCCAGCAGGGATCCTTTCATTTATCACATTTATATCACCTTCGCTGCTTTAGTGATGACATAATGGAAAGCAGTGAAAAACTGGGACAGTTTTATTCTAATATCCTAAAGCTAGTTGGAGTTGCAGCAGGTTGACTTACCGAATAAGAATTCCTACCACAATTCATGGGATTTAAGAATCTTTAATAAGGTACGAAATGTTACCAAACAGTTCTGTAAACTAAATTTTACATACCAATTCTTCTAGCCATAAATATTGAATATCTTGTAACATGTATAACCGGACCTTTACATGCGGATAAATATGGAAATTAGGATTTATATACATTATGTTCTTGTATTTGCCAAAAGCAACGGACAGATATAGTTTATATCTTTTTTTTTCTTTTTTTCTTTTTTTTTAATATCACTTTACATAAACAAATGTAACAGTTTGACACGCAGATCCAGGCTTTCACTATACGAATTTCTTGACAGGACGTGTAACAACATTTTACTGCACTACTTAGACTGGACTTTGGGACGAAATGTTGCACTTTATACAAAAAAGCACATTAATACCAATAATATTCTGTTAGATCGACGTTTAGACTGTAATAATACAAAGTAATTCACATTTTGGTACACATTTACTAGAACATTCTTGCCATTCAGTACAAATAGTTGAATTTCTACCTCTTCCCTCTGCCCCCCCCACCACCTCCGCCC